CCACCTCTCCAATTCTTTCAAGAATCTCAAAAGGCCCAATATACATAGGGCTCAACTTGCCCTTCTTTCCGAACCTCATTACTCCCTTCATAGGAAAAACCTGGAGCAAGACCCGTTCACCAGCCATGAATGCAACATCACAAACCTTTCGATCCGCATAACGCTTTTATCTAGATTGAGCTGTACGAAGCCGATCCTGAATCAATTTAACCTTTTCCAAAGCATCTTGAACCAAGCTCGTACCCAATAGTCTAGCTTCGCCCGGCTCGAACCAAACCACTGGAGACCGATACCACCTAGCATAGAGGGCCTCATACGGAGCCATCTGAATGCTCGATTGGTAGTTGTTGTTGTAGGCAAACTCCGCAAGTGGTAAGAATTGGTCCCAAGCACCCCAAAAATCTATCACACACGCACGAAGCATATCCTCCAATATCTGGACAGTACGCTCTGATTGTCTGTCCGTCTGAGGGTGAAATGTTTCACTCAACTCTACCCGAGTACCCAACTTACGATGTACGGCCCTCCAGAACCGTGATGTAAACTGTGTACCCCGGTCAGAGATGATAGATACCAGTACGCCATGAAGCCTAACAATCTCGCGAATGTAAACCTGAGCCAGCTGCTCCGAAGAGTAAGTAGTAACCACAGGAATGAAATGAGCTGACTTGGTTAATCTATCCACAATCACCCAAACTGCATCGAACTTCCTCCGAGTCCGTGGGAGCCCAACAATGAAATCCATAGTGATCCGCTCCCATTTCCATTCTGGAATATCCAAATTCTGAAGCAATCCACCCGGTCGTTGATGCTCATACTTCACCTGCTGGTAATTTAGGCACCGAGCTACATATTCCACTATCTCTTTCTTCATCCGCCTCCACCAATAGTGTTGTCTCAAGTTCTGATATATCTTTGAAGCACCCAGATGAATGGAGTACCGCGAACTGTGAGCCTCCTAGAGAATCAACTCACGCAAGTCATCTATATTGGGTACACGTAGCTTGCCTGCATCCGTAATACACCGTCATTCTAATAGTGACTTCTTTGGCATCACCGTGTTGAACTGTGTCCTTAAGGACAAGCAGATGGGGGACATCATACTGACACTCATGGATACGATCATAAAGAGAAGACTGAGAAACCACACAAGCCAAAACTCTGCTCAGCTCGGAAATATCCAATCAGACAAACTGCTTGGCCAACGCCTGAACATCCAAGGCTAAAGGCCTTTCTGCTACCGGTAGATAAGCTAAGCTGCCCAAACTCTCCGCCTTACTACACAAGGAATCGGCCACTACATTGGCCTTTCTAGGATGATAGAGAATGCTGACATCATAATCCTTAAGCAACTCCAACCATCTCCGTTGCCACAAATTAAGATCCTTCTGTTTAAACAGATGTTGTAGACTCAGGTGATCGGTGTAGACATCACAATGGACACCGTACAAATAATTCCGCCAAATATTCAAGGCGTGAATAATAGCTGCTAACTCAAGGTCATGGACCGGATAATTCTTCTCATATACCTTTAACTGTCTGGACGCATAGGCAATCACCCTACCGTTTTACATCAACACTGCACCGAGACCAATGCGTGATGCATCACAATGCACAGTATAAGACCCTAAACCTGTAGGCAATACCAATACTGGGGCTGTAGTCAAAGCTGTCTTGAGCTTTAGAAAGCTCTCTTCATATTCCTCAGTCCACCTGAACGGAGCACCCTTCTGGGTCAATTTGGTCATAAGTGCAGCAATAGAAGAGAAACCCTCTACAAATCGGCGATAATACCCTGCCAAACCAAGGAAAATTTGGATCTTCGTAGCTGAGGACAGTTTGGACCAACTCTGTACTGCTTCAATATTCTTCAGATCTACCTTGATCCCCTCGCACGAAACTATATGACCCAAAAATCCCACTGAATCAAGCCAGAATTCACACTTTGAAAATTTTGCATATAACTTCTTTTATCTCAAAGTCTAAAGCATAGTCCTCAAGTGCTGCTCATGATCCTCCGGCTCCAGGAATACACCAGAATGTCGTCAATAAATACAATGATGAAGGAGTCAAGATAGGGCTGAAATACACTATTCATCAGATGCATAAATGTTGTTGGGCGTTGGTCCGCCCGAAAGACATCACAAGGAACTTGTAATGACCATACCGAGTCCTGAAAGCAGTCTTCGGGATATCTGGTTCCCTAATCTTCAACTGATGATAGCCTGAACGCAAGTCGGTCTTAGAGAACACTCTGGCACCCTGAAGCTGATCAAATAGGTCATCAATACATGGCAATGGATACCTGTTCTTCACTGTAACCTTGTTCAACTGGTGGTAATCAATATACATCTGCATTGAACCATCCTTCTTCTTCACAAATAAGACAGGAGTACATCAAGGCGATACACTGGGCCGAACAAAACCCTTATCAAGCAGCTCCTGTAACTACTTCTTTAATTCCTTCAATTCTGCTGGGGCCATAAAATATGGTGGAATAAAAATGGGCTGAGTGCCCGATAACAAATCAATGCCAAAGTCAATATCTTTGTCGGGTGGCATACCCGAAAGATCTGCGGGAAATACATTAGGAAAATCCCTTACTACAGGAACTGACTCCACGGTAGGAGTACCAACACTAACATCTCTCACATAGGCTAGATACGCATCACACCCCTTCTCAACCATTCGTTGAGCTTTAAGAAATGAAACAACTCTGCTAGGAACATGATCCAAGGTACCTCTCCACTTTAGCCGTGGTAGACCTGGCATAGCCAACGTCACCTTCTTGGCGTAACAAATCAAGGATAGTGTGATAGGGAGACAACCAGTCCATGCCCAAAATAATATCGAAATCCACCATACTGAGCAATAATAAATCAGCTCTGCTCTCTAAATAACTGATAGCAATTAAACACGACCGATACACGCTATCCACAATAATATATTCACCCACGGGTGTAGATACATAAACATAAGAACTCAAAGAATCATGGGATACGTCCAAATACGGGGCAAAATAAGATGACACATAAGAATAAGTGGAGCCTCGATCAAAAAAGACTGATGCATCTCTATGACAGACCGGAATAATACCTGTGATAATGGAATTAGATGCAACTGCCTCCGTCCTAATAGGAAGGGCATAATATCTGGCCTGGACTCCCCCTCTAGGGCGACCTCTACCTGTCCGACCTCCACCTCTAACTAGCTGTGCAGGTGGAGTAGCAACTGGTGCAGTGATCATGGCCTGAGAAGCCTGAGGGTCCTGTGGAATAGGTGGGGCCTGAGAAATTTATGGAGGTGCACTCCTCCTAAGTCTGGGGCAATCCCTCATGATATGATGAGTGTCACCACACTGAAAACAAGCCATCGGAGGACGTGGCTGCTGGGACTGGCTCGGGCTTGATCGACTAGACTACCCACTGAAAGCACCCCGTACAGGAGGTACAATAGACACCGGCAGTGCATAATATAGAACCTGAGGTCTGGGAGTAGCCGGAATACCACTGGAAGCTGGAAGTGCTGAATGAATAGGACGACTCACATAGCCTCTATCATGACGGGCTGCAGCTGGGGCACGAGAATTGTTATATGTGCCCAAATCCTGAGGTCTCTTAGCTTTCCTCTCTTCTCTCTCTTGAGTTCACATACCCTCCAATCTCTTAGCAATTGACACCGCCTGTTGGTATGTGATATCCATCTCCAGTTCTCGGGCCATACTGAATCTGATACTAGGGTGGAGCCCCTCAATAAATCGACGAACCCGCTCTCGAACAGTAGCAACTATGGCTGGTGCATCCCTAGCCAAATCACTAAATCAGGCCGCATATTCTGATACAGTCATAGAAACTTGGCGCAGCTGCTCAAACGATGCGTACAATGCATCTCTAAGACTCTAAGGAGCATACTCCATCAAGAACATCTCTGAAAATTTAGTCCAAGTGAGTGAAGCTGCCTCAGCCGGACTATCCAACTCGTATGCTCGCCACCACTGGTAANGGTAGTAACAGGCGTCTCAGGTGCCTGCTCTCCAACTGGAGCTACTGGTGGCTCCTCTGCAGCAGCTCGTACAGATGCCCTGGCTGCACCACGTGGTCTTCCTTGGCCCCTGGCTCGGCCTCTGCCCTGACCCCGGCCTCTTGCGGCTCCAGCAGGGGGCATAGGTGTCTGATCCTCGGATCCAATTGTGTGTGTCCTCACCATTTGTGAGAGAATAGAAAGACAATGGTTTAAAATTTTTAAGTTAACAATTGCGCACGATAATGAATCAAAGAAGTGAATATTTTCCTAACAGTTCCATAGCCTCCTGAAGATAAGTACAGACGTCTCTGTACCGATCCGCGAGATTCTACTAAACCTGCTTGTGACTCATAACACTTATGAACCTAAAGCTCTGATACCAACTTGTCACGACCCCAAATTCCCTCCGTAGAGCTCTGGCGTAACTGGTAAAGTTGTTGTCATGTGACTAAAAGGTCACGGGTTCAAGCCGTGGAAACAACCTCTTGCAGAAATACAGTGTAAGGTTGCATACAATAGACCCTTGCGGTCAGTCCCTTCCCCGGACCCGCGCATAGCAGGAGTTTAGTGCACTGGGCTGCCCTTTTTACTGGAAATGATCCACAAATGATTTTTCGAGATAAAGCATTTCCTACACACCAAACAGAACCTAAAAGGAAAATGAAGTAAAACGGGATAAGGAAAAAAATATACATGAAGTATGTCTATTCAACAGGCAAATTAATCTATACTATGAACTACAACAAGGAAAACACTCGAAACGAACACAAACCAAAATCAAATTGTATGATCGTATCATGTTTCCCTTCTTTATATTTCCTTTTGTGATCGCAGTAAATGATCTTCATATAATTGGAATACAACAGCCGAAGCAAAATACAGTTTTTTATGTTAAAGGGACTGTAACCAAGAAGCATGTGTGTAATAAGTGTACTACCAGCATCAAGACATTTAGGTAATTAGACATTTGAACTTACGTGGGTATGCCAGTGACATCTTTTATAAGCACCAACCCCAAGTTGCTGACCTAGATATTGTATAGCCAAAGCAGAAGCATGACCTGAGCCCAATCCTATTACCATACCACTCTTCACATAAGAATCCACCTACAATACAAAGAAACACAGATCAATTCGCATGTTTTACAAGAAGAAAGAATAGAGGCGAAGGAGAAGGAGTATTTACTGCATGTTTGGCGGCTAGGAGGAAACCAGCAGAGGGATCAGAGAAATTGGAACGAGTAACAAAGCGCTGAAGGGAATTTCTTGATGAGGCGAAATTATAAATTGACCCAAATCAGTAACAATATATACTCACGTCCTAGTAAATAATTTGTTCTAGTCTATATGTTGCACTCAATTGAAAGAAACAGTTAACTACCATCAATTAATTTAGCATGAAAGAAAAAGTAATTTAACTTTTTTAACTTACTAGTGTAGCTATGCCTGAGTTAAGCCTGGGCCCAAGGGCAATGTGAGCACTTTGTGTCTAGATATATATTTTGATTTAATTTTTTCTTTGTCGAATCCTACGGCTTGTTTGGATATTTGTTACATGTTGTATTATATCGTATTGTTATTTTAAATAAAATATTTTTTTTAATTGTTACTTAAATTTTACTATATCGTATTATTTCTCTGTCGATTCTTACACCATCATGGTATCATTAAGGAACTTTTTAAGTACGCTTTATTTAATATACATTATTTATCATAATTATTTAATTATTTATTAGTTCCTAAGTAAATACAATTTATAACTTTTAATAAATTATATTCGAATTTGTAATTTTAAATTAGAGACAATTTGAGTGTTTTCAAATTTTAATTATTTATTTCATCTCATCTAAGGAAAGACAAAAGAAAGTAAGAAAAACTTTAAAATAATTAAAATTAATAAATAACTTAACTAACATTTTTTTCCAATGCTATTGGTGTCAATTATGCGTACACTCAAGTGTTTTTATTTTAAAAAGAAAATAATTGGTGACGTTACTTCATTCTCTTTCAAAATAATAAACCATTTAAATTCTTCAATTTATGTAAAGCCAATTACTCAAACCGGAGATTGCAAGTACGAAATATTTAATATAAAAGTTAGCACTTTGCACTCAAAAATGCCCTTATCATGTTTGGTTATAAATGTAAAGCACGTTGAGATTCAAATTTTCCTACTGTACTTTTTTTTATGAAAAATCTTAATATTTTAGAAAGAGAATTGACTTACTCTCTTGTTTTAGTAAATAATGTTATGACTAATATGATATTTCGCATTAAATAATTAGTTTTTGTGTATACTTAGTGATTCTTCCTTTATCAGATTTGCTAAATTTTTGCCATCTTTTATTCCATTAACTTTGAAAAAGGAAAATACTTCTCGTTGCATTATCTTTCAAACTTCAATATAAAATTAAATGATCTCTTCGTTATAAAGCTTTAACAGTAAAAATATAAAAGGTATCAAATACGTAGTACCTTAACACATATATTAATAATAATAGTAGTTCAAAAATGTATCTATAGGAAAAAGAGGATGAGCGGCCTAAATACTTAATGCTCATAATATTAGACCTAAATACTTAATGCTCATAATATTATTTTAATAATAACTTTTCTCGATTTTAATGCTCTGACCGAGAGCTTGCCTGATTATTCTTGACTTGGTTGTTTTGGCAATTCACTTGAACCATAAGCTCCTCTCGATTCCCATTTCTAAAGAGTAGTAATGATCAGTGTTTTAAAAAGCACGGGCGTAAGGCGAGATATTTTGCATATGCCTCAGCGAGGCGTAAGTTNTGACTAGTTTTTTATGGGGATGAAGCACATCTATATATATAGTCAAAATAATTTATTATACGCTACTTAGAAGCTCAAGTAACTTGAGTCGAAAAGAATAAAGTTTTCTACATACAGGAACAAAAAGGATGACTAACCTTCAATTTGAACTTTGAACGTGCTGCTATGAAGAAGAATGGAGTTCTCTTTGTATTTATAAAAAAAAAAATATTCGTTGCTTTTGGGAGATATTAGCAGACTAGCGGACAAGATAAAGCATTGGGAAAAATTATGAATGGGGCCTTCAATCAATAAGAAAATGTCTTGTCTTTTTAATTTAATATATTTCAATTCCTTTTTTAAAACTTTTGAATAATTACTAAGCTGAATTTTGAAAATTTGGGTATTATATGAAGGACTTATTCAATAAATTTTTTTTTAATTTAAAAAAATCTCTGGGGGCTTACGCCTCACTTAAAAAACTCACCCCGAACGCCCGGACGTACGCCCCGAATTGCTGGGCGTACGCCTCTTGAGACTTTTGCCCCACACCATCACCCCGGGGCGTTTTTGGTGCGCCTCGCCCCGGGGCTCGCCCCGAAAACGTCTTTTAAAACACTGGTAATGATAACAAGAATATACAAACTTCATTCAATTTATTGATCTTTAATGCTACGTATACTTTTAACACTTTAAACTATGCATAAATAAAATAGTGTGAAGTGCCACTTTTTAATTTCAAAGTTGAAAACTATTATTTTGTGACTTGAATTATTTCTTTGTATTTTTAGGAAACTCATAATCCCTATAAATTTAGGAAAACTCATTGTCCTAATATATTTGGGAAAGAAAAAATTATAGTACTTGTCAAATTGGGAAACCTTTCTCTTATAAGTTTGGGACTATTTGGGATCTATATATAGGGATTGTAGTTGGGGATTCTATAGATGGTATTGTATTTTTCTTCTCATTCATAGTGAAAAACTCTCCCTGCTTCTGCCCCGAGGATTAGGCTTAGCCGAACCTCGTTAAATCCTTGTGTTGATTTGTTTTCTCTATTTTCTTTGTATGTGATTGTGTACTAGTTAACCCACGATCTTTCGCAATAATTGATATCAGAGCAAGGTTCTGATTTCTACATATAATCTAGGGTTAAGATATCTTCATCATCTTCAACAAAGTATGAAGTACAGAAATTTTGACGGGGGTTCTAGCTTCAGTCTATGGAAGATTAGGATAAAATCTTCCCTGGTCTTACAAGGGTTGTGGAAGCCAATTGATGAGGATTTTCTTGAAGAGATGAAAGAGACAAAGAAGGCAGACCTGAAGGAGAGGGCTTTGAGTGCGATCTTCATGAGCGTTACAGATAGCGTTCTTCCGGAAATTGTTGAAGAAACTTCTGCAGCAATGGCATGGAAGAAGCTGGAAGATCTGTATTCTAAGAAATCACTGACAAATCGCCTTTACCTGGAAAAGAGGTTATACAATCTTTGTATGAACGAAGGTACATCTGTTAAAACTCACTCTGATGAGTTTAATTCAATTATAATAAACCTGAAGAATGTGGATATCAAAATTGAGAGTGAGGGTCAGGCCTTGATTGTGTTACATTCTTTACCATCGTCTTATTATACTTTTGTCGATATGCTGCTATATAGGAAAGATAATATTTTACTGGAAGATGTTAGTAATGAACTAAAATATAAAGAGTTGAAAAAGTGCTTTCCGGACAGCAGAATTCATGAGGACGAGGATTTGTGATTAAAGGAAGAATACGATAAAAGGGCTTTAACAGAAAAAAGTCAACCTCCAGATCAAAGTCTAGAGCAAGGAAGCAAAATTGTTATGAGTGCGGGGAACAAGGTCACTACAAGAGAGATTGTCCTAAGCTGAAGGAGAAAAAAAGGAAGTAAAAAATAGATAATTCAGCAAATATTGTTGACACTAGAAATAATTCTGATGATAGTGACTATGTAGGGGAAGTCTGTGCTGTAAGCTCTAGTCATGGGCAAAATTCTTGGGTTCTTGATTCTGGTGCTACTTTCCACATGTGTTCACACAAGAATTGGTTTGCAACTTACAAACAAATGAGTAGGATTGTCTACATGGGAGATGATAATCCATTACCAGTAGAGAGGATTGGTAACATCAAATTGATAATGTTCGATGGAATTATCAGAAATATTAAGTGTTGGCATATTCCTCGGATAAAGAGAAATTTAATTTCTCTTTCGACTTTGGATGATCAAGGGTATAAATTTCACTCCGAGAATAGAATACTTAAAGTGTGTAAAGGCTCCATGGTACTCATGAAGGGTAAACTGCATTCTAAATTGTATCATTTTCAGGCCAGTGTAGTTGAAGGAGAAGTTGTTGTAGCTTCTGGGAAAAGTGATCTGAATCAGTCTCAGTTGTGGCACTTACGACTTGGTCATATGAGTGATAATGTAATGACCCGACCGGTCGTTTTGAGTTCTAGCGCGTCATTCGGCAGTTTGAGGCCATGAGTAGCTACACTTCAGGTAATGACTTGTACGTGTGGTCGAAATTGAAATTCAGGAAGTTCGGAGTTGATTTGGAGAAAAAATAATTCTAATTTCAGAAGTCTTAAGTTGGAAGAATTGACTAAAGTATGAGTTTTGAGTAAACGACCTCAAAATCGGGATTTGAAGGTTCTAACAGGTTCGTATGATGATTTTGGACTTAGGCGTATGTCCAGAGCGGGTTTTGGATGACCCGGGAGCGTTTTGGCACCTATTATGGAAGTTGGCATTTTGGAAGAATTTTATAGATTTGAGCTGAAGTGCATTTCAATGTTATCAATGTCCGTTTGGGATTCCAAGCCTGGGAATAGCTTCGTATGATGATTCTGTTCTTAGGAGCATGTCCGGAAATTTATTTGGAGGTCTGTAGGTCATTTCGGCATCAATTGGCAAAAGTTGGAAATTTGAATGACTTTTGAGAAGTTTGACCGGGAGTGGACTTTTTGATATCGGGGTCGGATTCCGATTCTGGAAGTTGAAGTAGGTATGTAATGTCAATTATGACTTTGTGTGCAAAATTTGAGGTCAATCGGACGTGATTTGATAGGTTTCGGCATCGATCGTAGAAGTTTGGAATTTCAAAGTTCATTAAGTTTGAATTGGAGGGTGATTCGTAGTTACGATATTGTTTGGCGTGATTTGAGGCCTCGACTAAGTTCGTAATATGTTTTGGGATGTGTTGGTATATTTGATTGAGGTTCCGAGGGCCTCGGGTAGATTCCGCACGATAAATGGATCAAGTTTGGATTTTTGAAGAGCAGCTGATGCACCAGGCTTCTGGTGTAACCACACCTGCGGAGGGCTAGCCGCAGGTGCGAGCTCGCAGAAGAGGCCAAGTGTTGGCAGCCTAAAAGTCGCAGGTGCGGACGAGAGGAGCGTAGATGCGCGATCGCAAAAGCGGGATCCAATGCAGGTGCGGCGCATGCACCGCAGAAGCGAGCCGCTGATCG